TAGTTGAGTTCGCACACGATTAAGATGTTGACATTTTGTTCTTATTTAAAAAGCAGGTCAGAGGTCGCTCACTCATCCACATACACTACTGTCTGGAGGAGCAGAGTCGTCAGATTGACTTGTTCCTGACTGGAACAATTATTTCCCCAGATAGTTTATCTAAACTGCATATATATACATAAACAATTACGTTTGCAATGACACATATAGACACATATGGCTTTTCACTTTAACTTTATTCGGTAATGCTTTTTCTTCATGGTTTGATTATTAATCACAGTAATGAATGCAAAGAGCACATGCTGAACGGATGAGTCAGCCAGCATACACATAACTTACAAAGAATGTACTAGTCCTTGGCCTACTCGTCTTTAAGCACTACTCAATAATATTCAGAGTTATTCTGCCCTCTACAGGTTCAGGAATTGTCTGTCATCTGCTTATAACAGAGCTACTAAACCTTTTCCAAGTTGAAATATTTTGGAGCAAAATATGTGCCTGATTTAATAGAATGAAATAAAATAAAATAAAACATTTGGCAGTGTTTTGTGGATACTTGCTTACATAGCTACCTTTCAATGTACCACTGAACACGTGTTCAGTGGTACATTGTGGTACATCTGTCCCATCAGTTTGTAACTGATGGGACAGATGGCGGTGGTTTAAGGGCTGAGTAGAAAAACGGGTTAAAACAAGGCAGATGCTGTTTGAGTAACTCCAGATTCCACCATAACAGAAAGGTTGATTTGTCTTTCAATTAATGTGTGGCAGCTGTTCAAAAACTCTGAGATATGCTACACAGTTGCAGTTCTTCAAAGTTAGTAAAAAAAAAAGAGGGTGTATTTGGGGGGGGGGGAGACTATGAGACACATAGTGTTGTCACTGTGTATCACAAAGCATACTGAAGATTTACAGAAGTTGTTTTGAGAAAAGACTATTTTGCTCTTCACTGCATCCTCCACCATCACATTCCAATTATGCATCATTTCCTTTGTCTGTGATCTTTTAAAATGGTAACATATTTGCTGTGTGCTGACTGACTGAAGAAAAGAAAAGTGAAGAGAAGAGAGAGAAAGAAAAAGAAAGCTGGATGAACAGTTGTTTATCCTCGGCCTCCCTGTACCGCAAAAGCTCATGTGCTGACAGATAAACAACAGCACATAAACTCTTACTGTTCGGGGCTGAGAAGCAAAGTTATCTGACACACACACACACCCACACACACACACACACACACATACAGTACATGACTTTTGCAGACATTACATTGACTTACTTTCATTTCCTGGAGACTTATACCCGAACCCTATACATAACTACCAGCCTAATCCTAAACCTACCCTAACCTAACCTAACCTAACCTTAACCAAATCTTAAACTAAGTCTGAATGATTTAAGTTATGGGGTCATGCACATTTGTCCCCATAATGAAGGAGAGACCACACAGTTTACTGTTTATCATTGCTTTGGATTTCTTAATCTTGTCAATTCTGAAAATATTTATATATGATAGCGTGGCTCAAAGTGAATTAATGTTGAATTATAATGAAGCCTATAAATCTTCAATATCAAATCAATATTGTGTGTATTATAGTATAGTGTATTGGTCTCAGACCCCATTTGCATCAGGTTCCAGAGCAAGGCTGAGAAAGTATTGTGTAACTTAACACCCATCAAGGTTTTATGGCTTTTATTATGGTCTTTACTTCAGTAGCTATGCAATTGTTATCGCTTGTTTAAAATCTTTAGTCTGCAAAGTATTCCTCTACATCTATATCCCTGAGCTACACACAAGCATAGCAAAGGCTCTTCATTGAATTATTATAACACCCCCCCCCCCCACCAAACCTTTTACACATTTTATAAAACTAAACAAGATTGCACAACAGGGTTCACATTTTTTGGGATATGTGAGCCAAGACGTGCCCCACCCCCCCTCCCTCTCTCTGTTTTATCCAGAACCTACCACAGTTCTCCTCCACAGTCTCGATGACTAATATTTACCCCAGCAGAGTCAGTTAGGCACCTATAAGGACAGCCAAACCACAGCTGTCCTTGCCAGGGCCCAGCCACGGCCTCTAAAACAGTCGAGTAAAGCACACAAGCAGACAAACGACTGCAGATGACCTCATACATCAAATGGATAGCCTCCGCTGTGTCCTCTGCACCTCCTCAGTCAACGATCCACACAACCTCTGAACATAGTTACTCTGGTATTAAAGTTTTAACCAGATACAACCACAATAAACAGGTTGAGTGGTCTATCACAGGCAGAACGTTGCAGGAGATCAAACATGTGACCGTTAATAGGAAGTTTTTCCAGGTGACAGGACAGTCCATTATACAGTAAGTCTGAAATCAGTGTGAGGGACAGAGAGAAAATGCTACACTGGACGACAAACAGACATGTTTTGGTCCTATAGGCAATGTACATTTTGTCCACACAAACAAGAGAACCACAAAGCAGAGGAAAACCAGAAGTGTATAAATATGAAAGCATTAACTAACAAATGATCAAATCCCAGCCATATGGAGGAAACAAAATATGCAGATACACACCCATGCACTCACAGACATAAACACCCTCTGCGCGTTGTATGGGCCTAGATTACACACCATGACTGCAGCATAGATTGCTTCACTGTGTAGTTTCATGTCATTAGCTGACACCGATTGACTTTTCTTGCCTTTTCCGTTCTTTAAATAGCAATTTGACTGACAACTCTAAATATACTCTCACTGTTCCCTCTTTCATATGTCAACACACATCACACACACGTCAAACACGCTGCATATCTAACCAGCTCTCACATCATGAGGCTAGGTTCTTTTTCTCTATGCAAACTATGCAGGCGCAAACGCACCAGCCCGTACACACAAGCACAGGAAGCAGGGAGACATGGCTAAATCCCATGTGATACTGGACACAGGCCATACCTCTGGAAAACCTCCAGCACGATGTTACATCACAACCATCTGCATACCAACGGTGAAAGCACACACATGCAGACACGGCGTAGACTTCAATTACGTTTTCAGAGGTGTGAAACACCAAGTTAAAAATCCAAATTACACAACAATCCCTCTGTCTTCAGCATCTTCTCTTTGTGGAGATCAGATCAATTGTAGATTACAGCGATGACAAAAGTACAAACATCCAAAAGTTGTAGGCCAGGTGATACAATCTCAAGTCCTCCTGCTGAGTATCACAGATTATTCCAGTGGGAGCTGTCAGTAGCTGTAGCAATAGTAACAAGGCAGAGTTGGTCAGCTTTGTCAGTGTCTGGACGAGCCTGGGCCATGGGATGACCAGGCTCTTTGGAGTTTAAGTGCAAGTCTTATATAGACACATTCACCACGTGGCCCCTCCCCTCTGGCCGTCTCCCATAACAACAAACGCTCCATAATCAAAATAGAGCCCATCTGTGCTCCGACACACCCCTCTGCTCCAACCCCCGTACTCCACCGGGGGAAGAGGGAAAAAGTGATCCTTCAATCGCAGCGAAAACTTGTATGTTTTTAACCGCAAAAGCCAGAGACAGGCAGAGCGGGGGAAAGGGGGAGGCAGAGAGAGAGAGAGAGAGAGGATGACTCCACCCTCATCTGTCTCTGTCTCTCATTCCATTATTTCCCGGTTGTTGTGCAACAGGGGGAACAGATTCCTGAGAAGGGAGTCACAGCTCTGTTGTAAAACTTACTGGCAAGAGTGAACCTCTGTGTTTTTCTTTTACTGTTTCCCTCGCTCACTCACTCTCACTCGCCTCTAGTTGTTATCAAAACCATGTGTATGAGTGTGTGTGTGTGTGTGTGTGTGTGTGCTGTGAGGTCTTGGAGGGCCACAAGGGCCACGGGGGAGCACAGGAGACAGTGAATATGAGGACTATTATGGAGAAACGAGACCACGACATAGCCATGGTATACGTATGTGGGTGTGTATGTGTCAGCTGCAGCAGTGGCTCATAAGATGTTGAAACAGGTCACATGTTAAAATAAAACATGAAGACAGATTAAGAGAGCAAGAGTTTTTGTGTACAGGAGAGGAAGTTGATGCTTACTGTGGTTTCTCATGTCAGTAAGACAAATTACCCACAACAGCCCGCAGTTGTCTGTAGTTTTCAGATCAAGAGTGGATTGCGAGATATCCAGATGACTATTTTTGTCCATGTCATGAATGCAGCAGACATGTTGTGCATGACACACAGGATGTGAAAGGGAGGAGGATGTTGCGGAGAGTTCGAAGCAAGGTAGAAGGAGATGAAAGCAGCACGGGAAGGAGGGAGAGGAAGAGGTGGAGGAGAGAGAGCACACATCTGGAAACAATTGCAAGAGTGCAGTCTGACGTGCACATGCTTCAGCTGTAAAAGAACAACATGTCCTTAAACTTGTGCAAAAACCTGTCTATATAACTCCCATATGAGGTGCCACCTTCATGCATCCCTGTAAACAAAACACCTCAACTAGTCTTTGAGATGCATCGCCTCTGGATGGCAGACCAACTAGTCACTCATGTAACTTCCATGTGGGTGAAAATGACTCAGTAACCACATGACGTGTAGAAATGACTCCAACAATTGATCGTTTTCATTCCTACAAACTCTGAGGCAAAGATATTTTTAACTCCTATTTGTTTCCGTATGAGGTTCTATTGTCACACAGCTACACGAGTAAAGCAGTTTGCAAAGCAATGTTGTGCAAAATATTTCTCAAACTAATTAAATCAAGGTTTTTTCCATCGTGAGTCTGAAATAAAATTCTTGTTATAACTTTCCACAATTATGGAGGAGTGCTCTCAGGACCTCAAAAATCCAGTTCTCTGATGACGTGGCGTTGCTTATATGAAATGAGATTGCAGCACGGGAAAAGAATGGAAAATACATTTACATTGATTCCTATACAATTATTTCCATATATTTATATATATATTTAGTTTCCAAAAATGTCCTGATTGCTCCCATCTGCCAACCAGACCTGTCTCTGTCTAAAGGCATCAGTGTCCTGCAAACAAAGTACTTGTTGGATCGCCTTGCAGCATTTGAAATTCAGTTTATATTGTAACAAAGCCATCATGATAGTTACACATGTTTTTTCTGCTATGATGAATTTAAATATATGTTAAGTAATGCATTAGCAATGATTTAAGCAATAGAGTCTTAATAAAGGTGACTTGAAAGAAAGAAACAATCGTCACTTTATTTTATTGTCTGTTACAACACATCTTCCCTGAGAAGGACAGCAGTCATTGCACTATTTTGGACAGATAAGATCAGAAGCCATTACTCATGACATGAACTTTGCATTTTTTTACCCAGAGCACCTCTAGAATCAATTATGGCACACAAGATCACAAGATTTATTTTTGAACATTACATAATCAAAATTCTTCAGCCTTATTTAAGCGCTTGAGTCTGATTCGCGGCTCTTCACTTATTCAGCACCTGACCGAGTTTCTGAAACTTTGGTTTCTGACTGGAACCTCGTGAGAAAGTCCTGGTAGGCTTGTCTGTGAGCAGATGGAGCCGGGACAAAATGGCCACCAGTATGTGTCAAGACCTGAGGGTCTTGGAAGGAGGGGAGGAGCTCCCTGCTCATGTTGTCGGGGATGACTTGGTCTTCCAGTCCAAACACATGCAGCGAGGGGATCTGGAGGGGAGGGCTGTAGAATTTCTTGTGCTCCTCACATCCGCTGCGGAAACCAGCGACGAGGATGGAAAAGCGGAAGCTGAATTCTGGCTCCAGCTTTTGCTCCTGAAGAGAGCACAACATGGCCACAAAAGCTGCTCCCTGACTAAAGCCCAGGATGCCATCAAATGGACCTTGGGTCTTCACGGCTTCTCTCACAGCCTCCACGCTCTCGTCGAGCCCCAGGCTGTCCTCACACTGCTGCTGAGCACTAAAGCTCCGAGCCTGGACATCAGAAAACCACCAACCCCTCAAGTCCTCGTCGCCTCCAGGTCCATCCTCCTTCTCCAGAGCTTTTGAAACGACAGAAGAAGAAAGTGGTTATCCTGCTGCGTTACTTTCTCAACTTAAAAGGGAGGCCCCATAGATGAGTGGGCCAAAGTTTATTTTATTACTCTTTACATTAGGACTTAAACATTTATTGAATCTTTAATTTGGTTATTAGTGCATGGAAATAGGTCAACATTTCCTTAATTTTATGTATTTTTAACATTCTGTATTCTTAATATTCTTGTAACTAATTCCTAAGTTGTTAATGGGTCATTGTAGAACACCTATTACATATATGCAGCAATCTACAAAGTGAGAGCAAGCTTGTCAACCTCTAAACTTTCAATAACATAAAAGTAAACTAGCTTCTACTTCCACCTACAGTGTGCTTTGTTTGAAGGCAGGTGGAGAGTTTGACCCACCTTCACCGCTGGCTTGCTGCACACAGTGCGGCGCGCTCAGGTAAACGAGCTCCGCGTGTTTCTTCAACAGCTTCCGCAGAGCTCCCGTCTTTATCCGGAACGAGCTGCCGTTCTGACGGTAACCGTGGATGCACAGGACCCGGAGAGGTGCCATGAAGGAGTTAGCTTAGCTGAATTAGTTAAAGCTAGCCGGGGAAGGGCGTTTCAGTTACAGTTCAGCTAATATTTACTTTAATACCGGTATGTAACCGCTTTTACTGGTCAGATAAAGTACACAGCAGTTGAAAGACGAAGAGTTGTGTAGCTTAATACCGAAAGTGTAACTCATGAAGTCAGCCGGAAGAAAACAACAGTACTTCCGTTTATTATTTTCAAAATAAAACCCTACTTGCTTAACGTGACTGAAATGTTTTTCTCATTACCACTGTATAAAATAAAGAATATAGTTAAAGATGAATACACAGCATATTAACATGACCTCGACATTTTAAAATATCTCTTGACCCTGTCAAGATTGTCATATTTAATATGTTTTTAAAGAAGCCAGCCTGATTCCTTGACCCTGACATGTGTCAAAACATTCATCAGTCTGTTTTTCCTCAGATGACACTCAGTGACTGTAGTGGCTCAAAGTGACAGAAGTTTTTGACAGCCTTTCAAATCAAACTTTTTCATTCTACATTACTGCTTTCCTGCAGCGGCTGCTCTGATTAACAGCCTGCTGAACATATGGCTCATACTTACGATGCAGCAACTATTCAGCTAAATGACTGTAATCTTGTGTTGACTTAATGAGGTAAAGAGGAAAAAAACATTATCTTGTGTGTCATTATATACTATTCACATCCCATGTTGTAACATAAAGACTTCGATTTGTCAAAACATGCTGCAAAGCTGAACTTCTGAGAGTTGAAAGGTAAATAAAATCTCTGACACTGACAAGTGTATTCTGGTCTGAATTACTTGGACAGAAAGTTAATCCACTATATTTTTTTTATAATAAATTAATTGAGTGGCTTTTGCATGATAAAATTTTACACATTTGCGTAGAGAAGTGCAAATCAATTAGAACATGCATTTGTGGCCTTGAGCTACCTTCATGGTGAATGGAATGCCTTCATATGGAGCCTTTCTACCGTAGCGACCAAAGCACTTAACAATTAGCCTCTCATTCACTCATAGACACACACATTAATACACTAGCGGTGGCAAGGTGGGGTTCAGTGTCTTGCTCAAAAACAGTGGAAGCTGAGGAACCCCCAACCTTGTGATTAAAGGACAACCCGCTCTACCTCCTGAGCCTCAGCCACACCATAAACAGGCTATAGAAAGCCCAGTACTAGCCAGAGCAACTCAGTTTCTCATCTGTATTCATAACCCAGGACTTAAAATAAGACACATTCACACTCATGATCTGAACCATTCAAAAAAACATAAGGGAAAAATAATCAAGCAGAATTCTTCCTTCCTCCTCTCACCCTCATCACAGATGCTTTTACTGTCTGACTGATGCTCTATAGTGTTTGCATGCATTTCTGGGGCAGGATTGACTCTTTACTAACTGGTGAGAGGCTGACCCCTAAAGACTCAGATGAGAATGTCTTTTACATCTCAGGCAAGATCATATAAAGCAGCTATTGAAAAAATCATGACATTTTTTTCAGTACTTACATTTTTCATCTCGCTGCAACAACACAAAAAAAAGTGACAAGGAACTTTATTTTCAACACAGATAAAAGTGAAATGCTAATTCTAGGCCACAGGAGCTCACTTATCAGACTCTCTTTCAGCTTCAGTGGCAGCGCACTTCTCCCAAAGGACTCTGTGAAAAATACAGACATTATCTTTGATCCAGATTCCCTTTTGACAAACATATGAAGGCAATATCCCAAACACCACATTCTCACTCCAGAATGATATGCAAGAGTTGGCATTCATCCAGTCCTCCTAATGTTTTGAGGATGGCCCACAGCAGTGACAGCCATGAAAAAAAGAATGGATGATAGTTTAATCAGGTCTAATCTGCATCGATGTATCATGCATTGCCCACGTTTTCCTATAATTCCCGACATCCAAAAACAGTGTTTTATGTTTTCCTAATGTAGTACTGGTGTGTTCTTTTCTGTTGTCTCATCTTTAACATATAGCCTATTTTACTTTTCACTGATAAAAAAAGAAATAATTCACGTGGCTCTGGGGCACACCTTCTATGTTTACCGAGATGTTTTGTGAGCATTTGTGTGTTATGAAAGAGCTCAGGGTCAGGGTTTACCCAGCTGGGATGTGATAATAAAGCAGGGAGGATGGCGACTGTTTCATAGGTGTGGCCTGAAGGCAAGGCAAGCTTCTGATTCAGAGAGACGGTTTCCACTGCTTCTGTGTCAGGGTCTCCGTCAACGAGTGATAGTTTACTTTGATGATGTTTTTGGAGTGGTCTCACAGACAGGCTCCCTCAATTAGGTATTTTGTTTTGCTGAAAGAGCTCACGTGTTGCCTGGCCATGACGCACATGCTAATTAGGGAAAATGAAAAAAAAAACCCCAAGGGACAAGGCTGCTGTTGATGTTCTCCAGCACTGGTGAGGAGCCATGTGTCCTTCCCCTACTGCTCCCCTGTTTCATTTTGTGTTTTTAATTCCTTCTAGTATTGGTTATTACAACTTATTACTCTCTGGCTGTCCCAGCTCCACACTTGCACATCCCCCGTTATTCAAAACTCAGCATCCTGAGCACTCATGTGGATCTTACAATATAACAATAACACACTTGCAGGATCACATCCTAACATAAAATAAATAACTAACATATCAAAATTAGCATTTCATCATGAACCACTGTGTTAATTATCTTAATTCCTACATTATATAGATTACAACCCTTAGATACGCCTACAATGGCAACATAATATAATCTTCATAATTAGTCTATATTATGAGACTATAATGTATGTAGATGTCAAGATACCTACATAACTTAAATTATGACAACTGCAACCAGAAGTCCACATATGAGATGAACAGTGAATAATGAGCCTTGCATATAGGCAGAGACCATTGAAATATCCATATCCAATATTTTTTTTTAACACAATAAGGCTTATTAAAAGTGCAGGAGCGTTTCAAACTAGCAAAATGTAAAAAGCCCTTGGAGTAAAAACAAATCCATGCTAGTGGTGTTGTGGAAAAGATTGTGATTACTGTCATTTGTGTTAATATTTGTAGAATGGCTACGGGCAAAGGTAGACAACTTGGCAAATCTGTTTTGGAAGAAGACTTTAAAAAGTTACCAATTATGGCTGTAGGGTTAAATTAGGTCTTCCCTCTAATAGTCCACAGGGGGGCAGTGGTGCACTGTAATTTCAGGTTGTACGGTTGAAGCAGACCTCACACCTCCCTGGCTGCAAAATACTACCAGCAAGCTAAACCTACCTGTGTGTGCGAGAAGACGAGTAAATAAATCCACTGTAAGTAATTGCACAGAATAATGATTGAGAGGAGAGTTACGCTGTGCACACAGACGGAGAATTACAGTATCTGTAACAAGAAACTCCTACATTTATTCTCACTGTAAAGTCAGCTGCTGATGCAGGAACCAGTGCAGATGACCATGGAGGACACACAGGTTAAGCTTCACAGCCAGAGCCAGGAACCAAAATAGAAAGTGGAGGGGGGTGTCATGAGGTCAGAATGGCCTGCAGGTTGTCTCCTCCAGTGGAAGATCTGTGCTGCTGTCCTCTACAGTGACATTATTAGAGACCCTGTCATTCTGCCATGTGATCTGTGAAGTCTCTGTGCACATAAAGGAGGACGGAGAGGAGTATGACGAATCTGCTGTCTGCTCCCGATCCTCACTGGAGCTGGTGATGTAGGCCATACACAGTGTGAATGCCCCTCGAAGTAAAGCAGATGGATGAAAAGAAACCCATCTTTATGCTTGTTGGAAGTGTTTATCTTTAACTTTTAAGTTGTATTCGAGGGAGACACCACTACGATTCTTATCAAGATATGCGTAGTGCAAAAGGCTGCTTTGTTGTATTGTTGTCAAATGACAAATGTCATCATGTGGTGGGACAAAGGTCACAGGTGAGCCAGCAAAAGTTGGACACGTGCCATTTATTGTGACTGAAAATGTCAGTGTGTGACATTGTTGCCATGTTTTTGTTGCGCTTTCCCATCCGGCTTATCAGTGTGAGACTATTGTTTTGACCAAATGCAAGTAAACATTACTTTCGTGCCCCACAAGGCTAATCAGAATCAGAGGTATGTGATATAATCAGCGTGAGAGATGGACAGACTGAAGCTGATCTGTAGTCCCCTCCTATGAAATCACTGGAATAATCCTGACACCATTTGACTCACTGACTACTGACAGCCTTGAAATCTAAGAGCTAGTATTTATTTAAAGCATTCAGTAAGATTCTGATTACATACAGGAGGGACTCCTTGTGATCTCAATGGTTAGTGTTTGGGAATGAACCGTGCTATATGACTCAACTAGTAGGAATGAGGCTCACATTACCTCACTCATTCATATACAAGTAACAAGTTGGAGGATAGGTTTTGCAATTGTTTTAAAACAATACTTTTCACTCCACATCTGACTCCTACTGTTGAATTTGTTAAGATTTGGGATCCAAATTGACTCTCCTGTAACTAAGCATTTGATGATTTATGTGCCCCTCTTGAGTGTGGCTTAATTTACGGTTGATTTTGAACTACCTTTTAGATCATGCTCATTGTACATCCTCAGACTCTAACTATTTGGACAAACGTGCGGACAATTCCAGCTTGTGTGGACATTTCTGTCGCGGCAGCTATACCTGGACATTCATGAACAATCATCTGCTACTCTTGAATCCTTTTTGTTTGTTTAATTAAATCAAATGTCGATGGGTGTATCTGGATGGGGGCCTGTGTGTCTCTTGTTTGTGTCTTTTGCATATACCTGTTCTGAAAGTTTAAAGACATCTTTGGACAGATTTTCAATGCAGAGCTGTGATAGAAGGATAAAGAAGGAATTTCATCATTGGCAAAATCAGACTGCTGAAGCCTCGTAATCATTTTTCTGAACTTAAATGATGGAATGCATTTTGCATAACTACTGTCTAGTACAATTTTGAATGCACTTGCACTGCATGTCAGTGGAAAATATTGTACTTTTTGTTTCATTTGACAGCTCCTAGTTACTCCTCAGAAAAAAAGTCATATAAATGATCTTAGCCTATTGAAAATGATCTTTTACACGTACAGTATTTTTACACTGTTGTAATGATTGATTGTATTGACTCGTACTTAAATGACGATTGTGGATTTGACATTACTTTTACA